TCATGACTTGCCGTTTCTATGTGAAGTAAAGGGAATAAATCAGAGCATATCTGATTATTTACACCTACTTTGTAATCCCCACATATCCTCAAATCACCATTGGGCTTTCATATCGCAATAATTGTTAAAGCCCAACTGCTACCACCTTGTGCAACTTTCTACAATATGCCATTTTCTTTAGTTTTGAAACTACCATGGGTAGAATGTAAATAACTATTTTTCAAGATTCAAAATAGATGTTTTTTTCTTTAAGACAAATACTTGCTCTATATCCTTTTAATAGTCCTATGTCCAGTTCTTCTGACTTTATACAATTTATTAATTTTAGACAAATACTTGCTTTATATCCTTTTAATAGTCCTATGTCCAGTTCTTCTGACTTTATACAATTTATTAATTGTATAAAGTCAGAAGAACTGGACATAGGACTATTAAAAGGATATAAAGCAAGTATCTGTCTAAAAGAAAAAAACATCTATTTTGAATCTCGAAAAATAGTTATTTACATTTAAAATGTCTATTTCCAGTAGTCCATGATTTTTTTGTGCATTCTACAACAGTGATGGGAATAATTTCAAAACAGCTTTTTGTCTCAAAACTTCCTTCAAAGCAGCCTAGAATTTTGATGACAGATCCATCAAATTGTTTTAAATTGAGATTTTTTTTTTTTTTTTTTTTTTTTTTTAATTTGGGTTTACCCATTTTTTCCCAGAAATTCCTTGGGGTCAAGGTAACATTGCTCTTCATATCAACCTGCATGAGAAAAGTCATGCCATACAACTTTACTGTCGCTCTACATTTTGCAGGTGTTCTTATCAAATATACTTCTGAATTTTCAGTATGAGGGTTTATATTTTCTACCCTTTCTATTCTCTTTTTGTATCTGCACACAGATTGGAAAAAGTCTTTTCTTTTACAGTTTAAACATAATTTTCCTAGGGCTAGACATTTGTTTTTGTTTCTTTTGTGTTCTTTGTCATAATACTTGAACTTAATTGGTATTTCAGTTGTGTTGTAGGCTTCCACATTGTTTTTAGAAATATTAAATTCATTAATTAATTCTAATTGTTGCAAGAATTCTACACTTGCTTCTAAATTCATATCATTTGTTTGTAGTTGTTCTAGGATCTTATGTTTGTTTATAATGTCATACATGCTTTCAATTAATCTTAGAAGGATCAATTTGTCTTCTATAGACATTTGTCTTGAACTCAGTTTTTCAAATTTGTAATATCTTGATGCTTCTTTCAATCTTTGTAAATATTGCATTATGGTTTCATTCAGGTTCTGTCTATTTTCCAGAAATTTTGTTCTATCTGCAATAATCAGCTGTTTTGGTTTTGGGTCACATGTTTCTTTTTATAATGGTTGAAATTTCCTCATATGTTAAGTCTTCCAGTATTTTGTGGTACACCATAATGGATATTTTATTTATGGTTTCACATCATGCTGAAGCCAAAAAATAAATCCATAATTTCATTCTCCTCTCAGGTGGCTTTCTTGTCTTTCAGTTTACGACCCTAGCCAATCCGGTGGAACATCTAATCCAAGTTTCTACATGCTCCAGTTCATCCAACACAGTTAGGGATCCAGTCAGCGATGCCATATTGTTATGAAGTTGAAATAGATGTTGTCAAGTCCACTGATAGTAGCTCAACTGGCATTTGCTGTGATATTCTTTTATAGCAGTATCTCATTTAAATACAATACTACAATTACTCTTGTTTCTTTGATGCAAAATGTAATAGACATCTTTTACAAGTTGAGAGTGATATTTGAGCAATGAATTAATGATCTTTAAGGCCAATATTCTCAGTCTGTCAGAAGTTTGTTGCTTATTTCTGTAAATCTTTCAATGTATAACATAACTGATTTAGGTTTTACAAGGGAATCTACACCTTGTGATGAGTTGGAATGAAATTAATTAGATAAGTGATGTAATGGAATAACCTGTCACCCTACGAGTAACTACAATATAGGTAGTAACTACCTATAAGTATCGGTAAATCAAAGTGCTACAGAGTCTAGCTGGAATCTGCTGAGTATGAATCAGACTTACACAAGAACTATCGACCTTCCAATAGTAGCACTCGCTATTGGATTGACTTGCGGTGATCGTGTTCATAACTGTTACCTTATTTCTTATTGTACTGGTTATTACAATAAACCTTTACTTATTTTATCCAGCATGTTTGTCAAATATATATTCCTATTACTGCAGAATATAACAATAAGTTAATGTGAAAAGCCTAGGCACCAAAACTAAGTTGTTTAGATTTTACTAGCATGTCAGAAGTACCCTTCTTTTCTTTACTTTTCTGCCATTTTAAACTAAGTCTGGAGAAAGCTAGTTTTGAATATTAATATATTAACCTGAAAGCTGCCAATTGCCTGGATGTTTATTTTATTAAACAAAACAAAAAAAAGAAAAAAGAAAGTATTGATAAGGCAGCTAACTTTCATAGTGGACTTTACAAAAATGAGATGACCATATAGCAGAACCTAGATAGATAAAAACTGAACAAAGATTCTTTGTGGGTAAAATGATGGATCACTGTTTGTTGATCATTCATTTTCCAGTTGATTGGAGATGTTAATTCATGAAAATAAAAAAAAAAAAAAAAAATAGATGCAATATTGTGTGGGTGGATAGAAAATAGACACTTGAGCAGATAATGTTAATTGGCTGAGGAAATCGCATTGATGCAGTCAGTATGAAACCACCCTACGAGTGCTAGTAAGAGGTTTTTCAACCAATGGACACCTGAAAACTTGGAGTTTTTTTTTTTTTTGAACAAGCCAAATTTAGAGAACCTTAGGAAATGATAAATTAGGTATTTTTGATAATAAATAAAATTAAAATCTGTCTATAATTTTGTGATGAGGTATTTTAACTATTTTACACTATTAACATCATTCGAACTGTTGTCCTCATCTTTATTGCCATATTCACAATGTTTCGGTCATTGTACACTCTGATCTTCTTCAGGTGATATACATTTGAAATTCCAACGTATATCACCTGAAGAGCGTATGATGGCTGAAACATTGTGAATATGGCAATAAAGGATGAAGACAACAGTCAGAACGGTGTAAATAAAATTAACTGTAGTCACACTGTGATACCTCAATGTAAACACTTTCCTTTAAGGAGTTGCGGTCTGGTTGCCAGGAAAAAGACACTGCAAGCTTACATCATCACCTTTCTTCACCATTCCTAAAAGATTCTACCAGAGAATATTTACTCAATTGAAGAAAATTTTCTCTAACTTAAGAAGTTATTTGCAGACTGACAATTTAATAGAAGACTATGAAACAAGGTTTTGGCAGCCATCTTTGTCTGCAGACTTGAAACCTGAAACAAGTAGCATTCGCCACCTCTGGGGCATTGTTTTTTTTTGTTTTTTTTCTTTTTGTTTTCTTTCTTTTTTTTTTATGTTGTGAATAATATTGGCACTTATTATCTCACCAACTGACTATAGTTAGGAAGATTGTAGTGCCACAGAATTGGGGAGGGTTAAACTGATAATTGTAAAGAATTGGTTTTCTGTCCTTCATTTCTTTTATTTCTCCTGTAACTTGCTCTCTTCATTCCTGAAGACATTTCACCCAGTTTTGCTTAATATTTCCTCAGATCAAAAATTGACTGGGAGAGTAGAACCCCTAGGGCCTGAAGATGATGGGAGATATGTGTGTTTTTATTTTGTAGCCTGTAGAATAAATTCAAAATGTTTTTGCCATAAGGAAATGGACTCATGCAAGCTGATATGAATGAAATCTTTATTCTTGGCTGATATGTCCCAGAAAGGGATATATTTGAACAAGTGGTTTTGGCTACTATAACCAAGTAGAATACGGTAACAGTAATCGACTGGTACACATCGTAGTCGCAGGTAAGACATGTAGATCAATGGCGTAGTCCAATGGGCATCGTTATAGTCTAAGGCTCTGACTCTCTCGTACCTACATGTCCGTCGGTATTTATGACGGACACCAGCCAATCATATTCCAGTGTGGAGGAACACAGGTGTGCGCATATTCCATTATATCATTGGCCCTTAGATTAAAAGAGATAATTACCACATTTCTGGTAGACAAAATATCTACATATTGCTATTTACTAAGCTTGGCTTAGTGTGGCACAAGGCCAAAATAGGGAGATTGTCAGAAGATTATATTATGCTAGCTTCCCAAGTAGGAAAGGTCCTACCTGTTTTGAAAAATTTCCTCAGATCAAAAATTAAATTTTTTAGCAATGGTACAAACACTGGTAGATGACTAGTTGGGTGGTCATCTGGACATCACAGGATGTAACTAAGCCAACAAACATGGCACTGAGCAATGGTGCGGAAGATGCTTGGCTGATTGGTCCTCTATCAGAGCTCCTCACTGGACACAAGTTCAAATCAGTGTACTCTTAGGGATCCTGAGGGCACAGGATTTGAAGCCATGGATGCTGGAGGTGAGGGTCTTACTGAGAGGCCATGTATTGGTGCTGTATAGTCACACAGTGAGGACGGCAGTGTTGTAGAGTCCTGTACTAGTTCAGTCCCCAATTTGCAGACTGGAGATTACCTTGTGGCATCCATTAAAGGATGTCGTACATCGGGACCTCCAGCAGATCAATCTGGTGCTGGAGGATGTTCCAACATTCTACCAAGACCATGAGAGGTGGCTATTTTGAGCTCAATGCCTTCATAGCATAAGATTTAGTCATAGTAGTAGTAGTAGTAGGTGAAAATAGTAACCCCTTCCATAATTGGAGGAATAGGCAGTTATCATACTTATTAAATAAACTCCAAGATATTCATGTATATACACAACAAGATTTACATTTCTATACTTAATTTTACTTATGATTCCATTCTCTCTTTGTCCTTTTTGTTGTTATTGAAAAATTTACAATTTCTTTTTTCTTTTTTTTCTTTTTTTAGTCTTTCAAACCTCGGACAGTACCCCTGTGTTTAATTACAGAAATCAGGGAAACAACTGCTCTAGAGATGCCTGACCGTGAAAACACATTTGTGATCAAGGTAAGATCTTTACTTTCATAATTTCCTTAAAGTTTGATCAGATAAGAGCAATTCTACTATTCTAAATAATATGAACCACCCTTGGTAGACCTAACATATTTGAAGTGTTCTGTATACTGAAAACTCTGAGAAGGCCAGTTATAAAATAAAAGATGGTAACAGGGAACAATGAAAAGCCTTTTCCTTTGGTTGTAGATGGATTCAGAAAGGTAGTTTCCATAGCAAAATCCAGGAACAGTTTTGACATTGCTACAAAAGGTAACTTCCAGTTGTGAGATCCTGATATTATAAAACTTGCAGAAAAATACCAAGCTTAAGCAATGTTCTGGCATCAGTTTAAATTGACTTTTTTTTTGCCATATATTGTGGTCATTTTGCTTAAAGTTTGTATTTTCTTGACTTCAGATGAAAATTTGTCAACATATTTCAATGAAATTACAACTTTACATAATTATAGTTTATGATTATAGTTTAGATATATTGGAAATAGAAGTTTACGTTTGTTTACTTTAGTATTCTAAAAATAGCTTTGTAAAAGAATAAAAATTGCTCAGGTCTGATCAAAAAAAGTATAGGGACTGTCATGCTAACAGAACTAAAGTATGCAGAGTGAAGCTGCTTGGCACAGATTGACCTTCAACTCTGTTGCGCATACAGACTAAGTTATAATATTCTTGCTCACTTACATTGTTTATAGCAGTGCTTGGAAGGAAAGTGTGTAGTGTGTGGTCATCTCACCAAACATCAAAGTGGTTCCATCAGTGATCATGGCTTGTGCAGCAGTTTTTGGCCAAGACCAATATTCTCCAGGTTTGACAACCACCATATTCCACAGAATATGGTCCACCCTTGCAACATTTTCCTCTTCAAAAATCAAATACCACTTGAAAGGAACAAGATTTGAAGACATTGCTATCTGAACAAAGGAGTTCCAGGAATGCTTCCATCAATGGAAAAAACACTGGATAAATTGTGTGGCTTCAGAAGGGAACTACTTCAAATGAGATTGATATGTGTTGTAGTTTTCTTTTTATAACACCAATCTAAATACTTTTTGATCACATTTTGTTTACAGTAATAGCAAATGTCAAGAAAAAAACTGCCAAATTCACACATCGTTTTTTTTGTTTTGTGTGTATGTTTGTTAAACTTTACCTAATCTTCTGTAAATTATGTACACATTTTACTTAAAAAGTTCAAGTTCTGGTGTTCAGTAATAAATGAATTTCTAGCTGTTCCTGTATCTATTTGACAAGAAGAGTCCTGCAACCTGACAAGCTTCCTTAAGGGAGCCATCACCAAAATGCAGTTGTGAATAGCTGTCCTAAACCAGTAAAAAAAATCATTCCAATATACTGTATAAGTCAATCTGGCCTATTTAGAAACAAAACAAAAAATCAATGGCTCTGAACTTGTATAGAATTAAATGATTAAAAAAATATGAAAGTGACATTCACTGAAAATTATTCAATTAGTCTTCATCAGAATAAGATTAAAAAAAAAAAGGTACTGAATCAGTTTTGTGAGTACATGTATTAGAATGGTAATAAGCAAAATGTTTAAATTCTCTCATATTTCAATCTGGGTGGAGTCCACTTTCCTTAATTTATAACATAGTATTTTATTTTATTGTATTTGATATAGAAAGAGTTTAAGAATTCATTCAGATGTTTTTCATTATGAAATTTTCACTTGTTTATTAGTGTCAATTAGGAATAAAATATTAACTTTAATTGAATTGTATATTGTATTAACTTTAAGAATGGTGGGAACTAAACTGTAATATTTAGGTGCCTATGATGGTAAACAAAAAAACTTGTAAACCAATTTGCAAGTGTTGTAAGTTTGATCTTTTATTTGGCACTCTGCACCTATTACCTTATGCCAGACAAAAATTTACACTTGTCCTCTTTTCAGGATTTTTTTATATTTCATTATTCATTTGTTGGATGGGAGAAATATTGTTTAGTTTTTAATTGATATAATAAAAGAAGAGCTGATTCTCTGTCCATCACACATTGTTTGCGTATGCTTTTTATGTGCCTATATAATGTATATGCAGGCAGGGTACAAGGATCTAGTAGCCCCCCCCCCAATCTATGATAGCGCTCCACTCTACTACATCTCAATTTTCATAAGGTAGTATTTATATAAAATACAAATTTTATTGTAACCTAATTATGTATAATAATGGATCACATGCAATATAGATGAACAATTCAACTAGAAAAATTGAAAATAAATAAATTCAAGGTATCTAAGTACAAATTAGGGACATGTCATAATAGACTGCTCCATGTCAAATAAATCAATGTTTTGCAGCAACTTTTAACATCAACTTGAGATTTTTCTTGTTAAAAAGTTGAATAATTTTAGCATATTCAATGTTATGGATAAAAAAAATAGTAAATTTTATATAGTTTTTTTTTTTTTTTTTTTTTTGAGACTGAGCATGAGCAAAACAAATTGTAGGATTGGAACGAAAAAAAAATAATCCCAGAATGACATCAGAATCTGCAAAAAAAATTTTCCATTCTTTAATAGTCGTACTTAGTTTAATTTGTAATATATATAAATGTAGGTATGAAAAAACAAATGTTCATAAGATAGTGAGGGTCACAAAGCACTGATTGAGGGCCCCAATCAGGCTTGCAACCCTGGTCAGAGGATTCAGTGATAGTATGAACAGGCTCTGTGTATATGTGTATGTCAGTGTTGGGCATGAGTGATATACATGTGCTTGTGCCATTTAATATACACATAAGCACATGCACCCATGCATACACAATTTGACTGAGTTTGAAATAATATTAGAATGACACATTCCGTCACACTCATTCTGGACAATCCCTACCATTGTCTGAGCAATAAGATCATACAGTTGGAGACAAAAAAAAAATCAGATAATTATAAGATTTTATTGAACTTTTTGGAAATTATTCAATAATAGTTATTTCTGAATAATATTTTAAAACCTGTCATTGAATTAAAATATAGAACACAATTTGAATCAAATGAAAATGAACATCTATGATGCAAGGATTAATTTTCCCTGTCTGGCAACAACCTCTGAGTAACAGAAAAAAGTATAAGCCAGCACTCTTCCTGCATGTAAACTGAATATATTTTCTAATAAATGTACTATTTTAAATGGACAATTTAGGTATGAAATTTCATTATCTTGCTATCAATGGAGTGAGAAGTACTGAATTAATTAATATCTAAATTCCTCAGATATGGTAAAAAATTTCAGTATTCAGTTATTTTTTGTCTCATTTATTGTGATTTTTTAACAGATTACTGGGATGAGGATTTTGGTCTGAATTTCTTTTAACCATCTCTAGTTAAAGAAGTGGAGACACAATGGAGTAATGGATAGCAGTTCAAATTGAGGAATCTGAGAGCTGAGTTTGAATTCCAGTTGAGTTCATTACATTCACTTATGTGAATGAAATGAACTTCTCTTATCCCTCCCCTTTGGCTAACTAACAGGATAGATTATTTCCTATAGCTCTGGTTGGTGACTAGTCTAGGAGAAAAAAAAACTCTGAATTCAAAGTAGCCTGGAGAAAGTTAGACTCCATCAGACTGTCTTGCTCAAGACCTATCACTACTACTATGGCAGCAGTATGTGTAGTGCCCCTATAATCTCAATGGGTTTATGGGACTCATGATCATAAGTCAAAGAAAAAATTCCAGTATGCTTAAAAGGGGAGAAAATGTTAGTTTGTTTTAGGCTCACTAAACACATTTACATTGTTTAAGCTGATTTGTATTTCATTTCATAAAGAAATTATCACTTGTTAAAAAAATATTGTTTGTCTTTTCAATGTAGTTAAAAGAAATATTTAATACAAATATAACAGTAATTTGCATAAAATCCGACCATTTAGATATATTGATTATGCTGTTAAACTTTCAGCTGATAAATTATCATTTAGAAGTGACTTATGGCTATATCATATTGAAACACCAGTTCTCATATGATTACCAAAGTTAAGCAATGTTAAACCTGGTCAGTACTTAGATGGATGAAGACTTGGAAATATCAGGTATGTAAAGTTGGATGTTCAGGTGGGGTAATGGGTAACAGTTTGGAAATTGAAATCTGAGAGCTGAGTTCCAATTCCAATCAGGTTCACTATATTCACTACCTTGGGAAAGATATGACTCCATCTCTTCTCTCCTTGACTATTGGGTTAATTAGTAGGATTTGTATCAGTAAATCATTATCTCAAAAAAAAAAAAAATCTTACAGTCTAAAAAATATTTTCTTGCTTTAAATAACCAAAAAATGTTTGATAAGTGATGCAAAACAATCCATCAATCATTTAGAAGTCTGTATAATCAAGTTCTACTTAGAAAAGTTATAACAACAAATTAACATCAAATTCACATTTTTTTTATCATCTTTGTCATCATTAGAATCAGACATTTGATTACAGCTGTTAAGACAGATAAAATTAATGCCAACAATGTGACACAAAGTTTATGATACGGACTGCAGACTCTGTCCTTATCATACCCTGGAAATTGATGTCTTTGCAAACTATATAAAAAAAAATATGCAAATGATGACTTGGAATGCTTTTTAAAATAATTTGCTGAGTTTTATCTGGTGAACAAAATTGAATGCACCTATACTTTAAAAATATTCTAAGCCAATAACTTTTCTATAAATATTTTCAGGGTAATTGTTCTGATGAGCTTTCTTCTTTGTTACTTCGACTTCACAAATTTAATCTTAGTACTAGAATAGCAACTAGGTTTCATCATTTTACTATAAAAATTACTAGTTGTACTATAAGTTCTATCCTAATAATTTCTTCTCTCACACTACTTGTCTGTGGAACTCTCTTCTGGCTTCTTTCCTTCCAGTAGGACCATTGAAAGTTTAAATTCAACATCTTCTGTCTCCTTAATTCCTGTTCTTTTATTGTCCTCTCTCAGTAACATTTTCTCAGTTTCTTTCATTCTCTCAGTAACATCTTGCATCTCAGTGGCTTTATCACCTTGCTTGGGGTGAGATTATTTTTAAAAAATGCCTGCTAGTGACTGAAGAAATGTCAACAGGGGCATGTATTGTCTAAATTCAGTTCAGGCATTTGAGTCAGTAAATTATTTAGACTAAGTTTTCATTTTGATATTTCAATTGATGATTCTCTGTTAATCTTTATCTGCTGTCATAATTCCTGATCCCATTGAGTAGAGATTCCAATAATTATTGGCTAAAACAATGAAGATTTAAAATATCAGTCTGAATGAATGAATGAAATGTATGTGATATGATTGGTGAATGTGGTGTATGTATGTGGCAGGTGCAAAGATCAAGAGGAGATAGAATAGGTCAGGAAAAAGCATATAAATTCAAACAAGCCAAAAATTTTTTCTTTTTACTTTTGGCTGCTGCCAGGTTAAATTGATGATATTTTTGTGTACATCAGTTTCCTCATCCTACTCTGGGTTAAGTAAATCATTTTCATTCTCTGCTGTTTAGGTGTCAGTTAAACTTGTATTTCTCAATTATAAGAGAATTGTTTTTCTTTTGCAATTTAAACCATAATGATGCATAGTATATAGTTTAAATCTATTGCTTCCTTATGTCTATTTTCTTGTTAAAGGTATTTCTAAAACTTAGTCTGGCACAAGGCCATGGTAGTTGGACAAATGAGGATGAAACTAATGTTTTAAGACACATGATTTCCAATATCTGTGGTATAGTAAGATTTTAATTTTGATATGTAGTTCGAAAAGGACTTCCAATTGGTTGTAGACTGGGGTAAGAATTGGCTGGTTAACTTTAATGCCTCTAAAACAAAATTGCTCTCTATTACTCACCACAGGGAACCATCCTTGCCACCCATTAGAATCTCTGATGCTAAACTCTACAAGAGAACCTCTTTAAAACTGCTTGGTCTCACACTGTCTGCTGACCTGAGATGGAGCAATTACATTGAATCAATTGCTTCATCCACTGCAAGGAAAGTTGGTTCCCTGTGTCATGCCAGAAAGTTTTTATCACCCAAGTCCATCCTTTAAATCTATAAATCAACCATTCGCCCTTGCATGGAATACTGCTGCCATATATATTCTGGTGCCCCACTGTTTGCCTTAAGATCCTTGGCAAAATCCAGAGATGGATATGCAATGTGATTGGTCCTGATCTGGCATCTCATCTACAGTCACTCTCTCACAGACGTGCCGTCGCCTCTCTTTGTCTTTTCTACAAATACTTTCATGGTAACTGCTCCGACAAGCTACTTTCACTAGTTCCCAGACTTCATGAATTTAAGTGTGCTACTAGGTTGGCATCACGGTCCCACCCTTTCACTGTCAAAGTGGTTAAATGTAGCCATCTCTTCTACTCCAATAGCTTAATGTCTTGCACCTCCTGTCAGTGGAATTCCCTTCCTATTACTTGTTTCCCTGATAGCTATAATCTCCAACTATTCAAATGTAAAGTCAATCGACATCTCCAGATGCCCTGATCCATTCTCTGTCCTTCTCTTCATCCTTTCCCCCATCATGCCTCTTTACTCTCACTCCCACTCGGTAACCACTTGTGTGCTAGTGGCATTTCGCCTTGCTTGGAATGAAATGCTTTAAAAAAAAAAAAAAAATTTCAATATTGGAACGTGTTCATACACGTTCAGTATCTGTCCTTTATGAAGATGTTCCGATTGAAACATTATGAATAAATTTATAAGCTGAATAATTTACATTTACATAATTTACATGGTATGATTTGCAAATTTAATTAAAAAAAAAACGGTTTATTCTTTAGAAAAAAATAATTTGGTTGAATGCTGCAGTTTTTCAATTCTTCCTTTAATGTTCAGTATATTTTTGTCAGTATTCTAAAAATATGAAAATTTGTTTTGTTAAAGACGAGCTGACAAGAATCCTTTTATTATATTTGATTGGAGAATATCGAAATGACCAGCTGCGTAATAGATCCAATTTTATTACTCAGTTCTCTTTTTTCATTTTATTTAAAAAGAATGAAAAGAGAAAAGGCAAAAATTATCATCTTACAAATTTTCTTATGCCATTAGATTAACTGTTGTTTTAAAGGAAGTACAGGGAAGCTTTGTAAAATAAACTTTTTTTTTTTTTTCATTCTTTTTCTTTTCTTTTTCTCTATTCTCTTGTTCTTTCTTCTCTTTTTCTTTCTTTCTTTCTTCACTCTCTTCTTGCACACTTTCTTCTCTTCTCTTTCTCTCTGTTCTTTTCCTCCTCTTTCTCCTTTTCTTTTCTTCTCTTCTTCTCTTTCTTCTCTTCTTCTCTTTCTTCTCTTCTTCTCTTTCTTCTCTTTCTTCTCCTCTTTCTTCTCTTCTTCTCTTTCTCCTTCTTCTCCTCTTTCTCCTTCTTCTCCTCTTTCTCCTTCTTCTCCTTTTCCTCTTTTCTCCTTTTCCTCTTTTCTCCTTTTCCTCTTTTCTCTTCTTTCTCTTTCTTTCTCTCTTTTTTGTCTTTTTTCAATACAGCAATTAAAATAAAAAAGAAACATTTTAATACTTGATTTTCAATTTATTTAATCTCTTGTAGTTTGAAATTCTTGTTTTTCAGCATTTGACAGTGTTTACTTTTTAAAATTATAAACACGTTTCTATTTTTATTTAATTTTTTTTTCTTTTTTAAAAAAATGAAAAAATCTCAGACAAAGCATAAATCTTGTTTTTTTAATTTGTGGGTTGTCCTTTTTTATTTTATAACATAGAACTGGTCAAATCTGGCTAAGTAAAAATCTACCAATTTATTACTCTTCAAATTTGGCCCTCTGTTTACTGATCTTGGTTACTTGTAGTTAGGTATATTTTAGTATTTTTACTATTTTATAAAGGCAATTAGCATTTTTTTCATGTATTTTAAATGGATTCTGAAGGATATAATCATTTATCAAAACTTCATGTGTTGAGATTGAGACAATCAAATTGTCATATTTTGAGTTGTAAAGTACACTACTTCATTATTCCTGTAATATTACTCTTTGAAAATAGTTCATACCTTTTATATTATACACTTGGGAAATATATTGAGTGGTTTTATCAGGAATGGCAAGCTTGAACTATGTGGAAGATTTTACTGTATGTGTATTTTTTTTTTTTTTTTTTGTAGAATTTATTTAATATCCTGCAACTACTTTCTACATTCACACAGTACTCTGGTTTCTTCATAAGTTATTTTCAAATATTTTTTCTGATTTGCTAGCAAGCATATTTTTCTATTCCTGTGGAAATTTTTATGGGGTTTCTATTATTATTCCAGAAAGATTTAAAAATATTTTTTTAATATCAAGTCTATAAAAAAAAAAAAGCAATTGTTTTCAGTTGTCTGTTCATTCCTCCAAATCTATTATATATATATATATATATATATATATATATATATATATGTATTCACTCTTCCAGATCCAGGAAATTATTTTTTCTTTCCATCATCATCATCACCATTATCATCCCTTTCTTTACTCATAGACATTTTCTTCTCAAGTGTATGTTATGTTTAAGGTTTACTGAATATAGGATATGATACAAAAATCTTTTTTTTTTTTTTACCATAGTCTCGCAGAAAATATGAAGGTCTCTCAGTCTAGTTACAGATCTTTTCTGTTTTCTTACATTAGATGTGCTGTCTGGAAGACAATTCACCATCTCGGAGATGATCAATTTTTTTTTGTTCTCTCCTTTCCTGAGAGCTAGATGAATTCAATATCTAGTAAGCTTAGCTGAAATTAACACAGGGCTAAAATTGTGACATTTCCAGTAAGGATTGGGCTCACTGAACTAATAATACTCTATTAGACTAACTTATTTACTAACAGTCACTCAGAAAGAAATATCTATTTGGTTTTAAAGTATGTGGCACAAAATCACAAGAATTTATTATTCAGTCATTCAAAGAACTGTAAACAGTGGTTGGCATCCCTAAAAACTTCTTTTTAGGACAACAGAAGTTAATGATCCCTGAATTATCTGTGTTATGTTATCTCTGCTATTTGATTTTAAAAAGTTTATGCTATTTTTTTTTTTTTTTTTAATTCACCCCAAGCAAGGTAATAATGCCACTATGATGCAAGTGGCAACTGTGAGTGAACGAGATTGAGAAATCTTTAGAAAGAACCAGAAAGCCAATCCTAAACAAGAAACACACTTTTACTTCTGTTCAAAAGACTGGGTAGGTGTGTGAACTAGATGATAGATAAACCCATCTACTCCTATTGAGGACAAAAAATAGTAAATACAATTTTAGAGTTTAGGCAGAGACTAATGGAATGGTAGTAAATCTCCAGTGTCAAGATTAACAGTTCTTATACACAATAGGTCAATATTTTGGGGAAACTTTTTGGATTTTGAAGAATCACATAAAAATTTAAAGTTGCTTACCTTTTTCAAAACTAATTTACTAGCTCTTCCTAAATGGTTTTATTATATATTCAATAATAATAACATTGAAATTAAGTCATTACTGTTTTCTTAAAATTTTAGCTGTTTTTGCCTAATCTACTTTGCTGGTTAATGGTAATCCTAAGCATGATGGATTTTAAAACTTACATAACTTCCTCTCTAAAAGAATTTGACACAATCACTAAATAGTTTCAGTGTCCTAGCTTAGTAGGAGTTAAACTAAAGAAGATATGAAATTTGCTAATTATTAAATCTAGAGTGTTACCCCAAACTTCTTGCTTATAGTGTATCTATCTCTTTAACAATGAATGAATGAATTCTTTGTAAATTTGGTTATACTGCATTTTAATATAAATGTTTTTTTAATACAAATAAATATCAGGTTCATTAATTATTTTTTTTAAGTTAAAGTGTTGATAAATAATATTAAAGAATAAAGTATTAAGAAAGCAAACTTTTTGAACAGGTTTAATAAGTTTCTTGATACAAGTTGATTCATTTGTGTGTTCTTTCTTTACAGTGAAATATTTTCATTTCTAAGCAAAATCAGCTAATATATTCTTAATCTTTTAAAATAAAAATCTTATTAAATTTTTTTTTAATAAGGATCTTTTAAATTTATCATTTAAAAACAATAACTTTATCACTTTCTTCTCATCCCAGCAACAAAAATAATGAAA